TACCACTTGTACTGCCAGCTTCCTTATAATAACACCATGTTCATTATAAGGATGCTGGTTCATTGAAAAATATTTCAGTTGATACAAACATTATTGAAAGTGTGAATTACACACAAAACATATGGTTCTCACATAGTCACTTAAATTTGGCATGATATAATTAACTCAGGATAATCTAGTGTGTATCATTGTCTCCTAGATAACTGATACTTGAACGTTTCTTTAATTTATCATCATTTGCACATATCTGAAACTTATATTTGGAACATATGTTAACCATGAAGGTTGAAACTTATGAAGGCAATACCTGTAGAAGTTTATATTTCTATTCGCTTTCTATATTTTAAATACCAGTAGTATGTGAATAAAATAATGACGGATACTTAAGGCTTAATGCTACGCTATTTTGAATATATGTATTTTCATATCGGCTACAAAATTTTCCACATTTCATTGAGAATGATGCCTTCATTGGAAGTAGAACAGAAGCACTTTCTAAAAAGCAATCAAATAAGGCCTTGAGTATGAAAATCTGAACCACTTATTGTTATATGTTGACAGTTAGGCACTGCAAAATGCAATATATCTGCTGTCACTTGGCCTTTGATTATTGAGTTCTTCTCCCTCAAATGTTCAGATACTGTGATTTCCTTATTATCCTTAAATCATGTTACTTCTTTTTCCCCTGTCCATCTTACAAAGAAGAACAATAATTTTACTTATTTTTTTACTGGAAAAGCAAAAAATCCGAATGAGGTGGCTGAAAGAAGCCAATGAGCCAAAAAAGTCTCAGATTACCCTAAAATCTGCTGCCCACACAATTTTAAGACCACCTCCAACGTTCTTCTTAATAATGGTGTTAGAAAACAATAATTGAGAACAAAAATGTGCTGCTAAGATTTTCATGTGCATTATCTCATATCCTTATGGCACCACTTAGGAGATTATTGATAAAGAAACTTAGGCTCAAAGCAGTCTGAGAAGACAGTCTAGGATTCCCATCTATCTACAAGAAAAACCCCTAAATATCTCTCTGTCCTTAGTGGAACATACTTACATGGAAGTAAAAAGCAAATTAAACACAGAGTAGCAAGGTTTTTCATCAAGAAGCTAATAAGAGAAGGAAAATGTCATATTTCTCTTTTGTAGATAATGAGGCTTATAGACAATAATCTTTGTATAATGCTATAGTTCCACTGTACAGACTTTTATTATCCTTCTCTTGAAGTTTTTTTTTCCCCAAAGTCTCTACTACAAAATGCCTTTTAGCACAAGGCAATGCCAATTGGCATAGCCAAGCTAGTAAAAACAATGAAGGCAAAATGACTTAAAGACCTTTACCCATGGAGGACACAACTAGCCAACAATAAATAATCAGTGACCTCTTTTCCATGAAAATCAATTTTTAAAAGCAATCAAAGCAGTGGACAATCCTGAATACTGTTAAAGTCAAATATGTTTGTTTGTTTTTACTGCTCCTTACAGAGAAGGGCTAACTCCTAGACAGTGGGCCCAGGGCTGGCCTGATTTTCAAAAGTAGTGTTATTTATAAGAACATTTAAAAATATGTATTATGTGCCAATTGCATTAAATCAAATTAGTGATGTCATATAATCATCACAATAAACAATTACATAGATAATGCTAGAGTGATCATATAATTTAGCCTCTAAAGTGGGATCATTTTAAGAATGAAGGAAGATTCTATTAATAATTGGGCAGCAGCCTCGTGCAGTGAATCGTGCCTGTAATCCCAGCACTTTGGGAAGCCAAGGCGGGAGGATGCTTGATCCCAGGAGTTCGAGACCAGCCTAGGGAACACAGGGACACTCTGTCATTACAAGTTTTTTTTTTTTTTTTTTTTTTTTTTTTTTTTACAAATAGTTAGGCATGGTGGTGGATGATCCCCTGTAGTCCCAGCTAATCAGGAGGCTGAGGCAGGAGGATCACTTGAGTCCAAGAGGTCGAGGCTACAGTGAGCCATTGATTGTGATACTACACTCCAGCCTGGGTGACACAGCAAGCTGTTATCTCAAATAATAATAATAAGAAGAAGAAGAAGAAGGAGGAGGAGAAGAAGAAGAAGGAGGAGGAGGAGGCAGCATTATGTTAATAGGTCTATACTTCTTAGGTAAATAGAGATTACAATCACCTTATATCTTAAACTTTATAGCTGAATAAAGTGGAGGCTGAAAGAATTTAAGAGGATTGTCCAAGGTTTAATCACAATGAAGTGACAGAATCAGAACTTAAACTCAAATAAGCCTGACACCAAAGTCTACACTTTTAACCATTCTGCTCAATCCTAGTCGCTATAGCAGGGTATACAGTACAGGATGGTGGTGACTTCAGCGTATGTGAGAATCACCTGGAAGTACCGATCAAATGTACATTCCTGTGCCCCACCCTAATCACCTGGGGTTACTGATAAAATGTACATTCCTGGGCCCTACCTTAGTCCTACATCGTATCTCTTAGATCAGAACATCTAAGAGTTCTGATCTAAGAGATACGATGTAGGGCTAAGAAAAATTACATTTTTGCAATCACATCCCTCTTAGGAGATTCTGAGGAAGGTTAGTTGCTGCTACATTTGGAAATATACTGTTCTATGTGTGCTTTCCTAAATTGAACAGAGTCAAAAAAGGAAGAATAAAGGAAAACAAGGTAGTTAAAGCTTACCTTGTTCCTACTAGAAAATAAGAAACTATGAAACTGTAAAAAATACAATATAACCAAATGTGCTCTGTTAACTGGAATTAGGTTAGCAGGTCTGTGCTATCTTATTGCATTAAGCCATGTTCTTGAATTACTTTAAAAATAATTTATTTCTCTCCCACTCAGAAATATTGTTTATATTCCTTTTATGGTTATGTTTCTTCTATTTACTCTGAACAGAATCAAACTGCTTTTCTCTTACTGAAATAATTCTTTCCTTTCATACTTGTATATGTAATAAATGATAAACTCCAACTAACACCATAATAAACCTTTACATTTTAAAAATATGCTATTAATAACTGAACCACAAATTAATATTTTCACTTTCTTGCCTTGGTTCAGTGACTTGTATGACTTAGTGGGTGGGTGCTTCACAAATGTATGTTTACCTAATTCATAACTAAAAGGTTTAAAACCATCACTCCATATTGGACTAACCTGAGTACAATTCATATGCAATATGGATATTACCTACTGTGGTTATCTCCACTGTACCTAGTAAATTACAATATTTCCCCCAGATTCTCCTTGGAATTCAGTAGCACTAACTATATCAAAAAGGCATTTAATTAACAGAGGGGTTAGCAGAACACATAAGTGGTCAAGCAAAATGTAGCACAGTTGAATTCTCAGATGCATCCCATTGGCAAGCAGACAAGGGCATTTAAATATAGCCCGCTTATTTTAGGCAGCATCATGAAAGAGATATACAAACAAAATGAAATTAAGAGAATCTAATTTTCCTTTACTTTCAATGTGTTACCATGGGGGTAACAATATCTTTAATTATGGAAGTGTTCATTTCTAACAATCACAAAACACTTTTAATATTTCTATTCTGTAAATTATGTAATTTTCATTAAAAATTCAAAGAAGTTGTTATACAGTGAAGAAACCAAAGCCCAAAAGAAATCAGGAAATACCTGTTATGGTACAATAAACTAGTGGTCAAATATATAAGGAATGTAAAACCTACAGTTTAAAAAATAAATATTTCAATTTAATAATCAGGAAAGGATCTGTTTGGCAGATGTTGAAATGTTAAAAATGAACATGTTTACATATTAAACATAATCCAACAACTAAACTTCTAGGTATATAGCCAAAAGAACTGAAAACAGATGTTAAAATTAAAACTTGCATACAAATGTTCATAGCAGCACTACTCACAATAACCAAAAGATGGAAGCAACTGAAATGAACATCAACTGATGAATGTATATCCATAATATGGCATAATATGGATAATAAAACATGGTATATCCATAATATGTAATATTATTCAGTGATAAAAAAGAACAAAGTAGTGGTACATGCTATACCATAGATGAATCTTGGAAACATTATGCTAAGTAGAAGAAACCAGATACAAAAGGCCATATGTGATTTCATTCAGATGAAATGCTCAGAATAGGCAAATCTATAGAGCCCAAAAGTCGGTTAATGGTTGCCTAGGGATGGTGGATACAGGAAAATAAGGAATGACTACTAACAGGTATGTGGTTTTGGGGGGGGGGGTGTAAAAAAGTGTTCCAAAATTGGCTGTGGCAATGGTTGAACAATGTTGTAAATATATGAAGAGCTATTTTAAACTTTAAGAGGGTGAATTTTATGTTACATAAATTATACCTCAAAAAAGTTGCTAAAAATAAACGGAAATAAAAATAAAATCTATACTAAATGCCATTGGTGTTCACTTTAAAGTGGTCAATTTTATGTTATATGAATTTCATCTTAATTAAAAGAAATAAAATACAACCTAAATTTTTCATTTTGTACTCTAAGAAGTTTTCATTTATTATCATATCCCACTTTAGTTACTTTACTTTAGCCCCTTAGTGCCTCTGCAGTTTATATAAGTATTCCAGTGCGTCAAGGTACACTTAATTCAGCTACAGGCTTGACTATAATGTATAGCAAATAAATAACAACCAATTAATAATTCAACAATTATTGATGCCTCTAATCCCAGCTACTCAGGGGGCTGAGGTGGGAGAATCTCTTAATTGATGCAAGAGAAATAAATAAAAAATGGTGCAAGTGGGGGGTATGTGGGAGGCTCATATATGTAAGTGACTTAGAACAGCATGGGGCCCAAAATAAATGAGGCCATTATTATTATCTGAGTCCGAGCCCTCCACTAGTGCAATGGGTTCCATTTCTTCATGCCTATTCAAATAATTTACTATTTATTTATTTATTTCCATGTATTTTGGGGAACAGGTGGCATTTGGTCACAGAGTAAGTCCTTTTTTTTTTTTTTTAGTGGTGATTTGTGAGATTCTGGTACACCCATTACCCGAGCAGTATACACTGAACCCAATTTGTAGCCTTTTGTCTGTTATCTCTTTCCTACCATTTCCCACTCAGTCCCCAAGATCCACTATATCATTCTTACACCTTTGCCTCCTCATAGCTTAGCTACCACTTACTTGTGAGAACATATAATGTTTGGTTTTCCATTCCTGAATTACTTCACTTAAGTTTCCAGTCCCATACAGGTTACTGCAAATGCCATTAATTCATTCCTTTTTGTGGCAGAATTTACTATTTGAATATTTCCTTTTCTCTGCAGCATCCTAGATTTCTCCCTCTTTGTTTGGAACATTTATATTAGCATACAAATGTAGTATAATGTTACCCATTTAAAAAACAACTTTCCTAAGTCTCATGTCTTTACTCAGATACAAGAGCATTTCTGTGCTTCCTTTTAAAGCAAACTCAGTAAAATATTTGTTCATATTCTTTGCTTCTACTTCCTCACCTCTTATTTTTTTTCTTTGACAGTTTTTAATTTCTCTATTGAAACTCTTCTTTTCAAGGCCAACATTCTCATGGATCTTGCCAAATCCAGTGAGCAATTTTGACTGTTCTCATCTTACGAATTTCTTTACAGCTTTTGCCAATTGATCACACATTTCATCTTGAGACATATTCCGCTTGGCTTGGGGGCTGCTACACTCTCCTAGCTTTCCTTCTAACTTCCTTTGCACTCCTTGGTCTTCTGTGAAGGTTCATCTCTTCTGCTAAACAACTAAAATTTAAATACCTCAAGACTTAGTACTTGGATTTATCTGTCTACACTCGCTATCTTGATGATATTTATACAGACTCATGGTTTTAAATACCATTTACATGCCAAGTCTTCTCAAATGTATGTCTGCAATTCAGATTTCTTCTGGGAACTATAGATTCCAATGTTTAATTGCCTACTCAACAGCTCCATTTGAATATAGAGAAGGCCTCACAAACCTAACATAGTTAAAACTGAACACTTGATTTTTTTTTTTTTTTTTTTTTTTTTTTTTTTTGATACAAGGTATCTTTCTGTCACCAAGGCTGGAGTGCAGTGGCATGATCTTGGCTCACTGCAACCTCCGCCTCCCATGTTCAAGAGATTCTCCCACCTCAGCCTCCTAAGTAGCTGGGATTAGAGGTACATGCCATCACAGCCGAGATAATTTTTGTATTTTTAGTAGAGACTGGGTTTTATCATATTGATCAGGCTGGTCTCAAACTCCAGATCTCAGGTGATCTGCCCACCTTGGCCTACCAAAGTGCTGAGATTACAGGCATGAGCCACCGCACCCAGACTGAATTCTTGATTCTTAACAGCTTCCTGCCAACATAAACTTCCTCATCTTAGTAAATTACACCACAATCTATCTGATACAAATAGAAAACATCCTTGACTCAGCTCTTTTTCTAATACTCTACATTCAACTCAACAGAAATTCCTATGAGTCCTACCTTGGCATGTATCCTGAATCACCTCTTCCCACCATTGTCACTGCTGCCACTTTAGTCTAACAACCATCATTTCCCAGGAAGCACTACAATAGCTTACCTACTGGTGTATCTACTACCACTGGATGGACCAGAATGGTCTTGAGAAAACTTTAATGATGTTCACAGCACTGGTCTCCCCACAGTGATCTCACGTCTGCCCCAGAGATCTACACTAATCTAAATGCAGTCCATGAGGCCCTAAATGATCACTTACCATATTTCAGATGACTCTCCTTCATGCTCACCACTAGACTCCTTTTTTCCTACAAATATCCTAGCTTTTTTCTCAACTCAGGACCTTTCACACTGTAGTCCTTACTGTCCAAACACTCTACCACCAGATCTTCACATGACTTGTTCTCTTACTTCCTTTAGAACTCTCTGCTCTACTGCCTCCTTCTCTAAACAGTCGTTCAAGACCAGCCTACCTAAAATAGTTATTCACTATATTTTTCATAAATCTTTCCCTCAGTCTCTCTGGTTTTTATGGGAGCACTTCTATAGCAAAAATCATATACAAGTTTTAAAAACTTATTTGTTATCTTACTTTATAAATGTAATTTTATAAAATGTTAGCTCCATGAGAGCAGAAGCACTTAACCTGGATATGCTATAGCCACTCAACAATTATCTTTTTGAATTTACAGATTTAAATATGATATGTTCTATTTAATCTTACCTACATATAGGTGCATTAAAGAGTCCTAAGTGTCAGTCAGCCCTGTGTATTTCTAAAATTTGAATATGCTTAAATCACTGCTTTTCTAGGCTCCTAAAGCCAAAATGTTCTTTCTCTTCTCCCAGTAGAATATAATGGTCCCAAACTGGAATATTTTAGGTTTTGGATATTTCTAAAATTCGGGTAAAATCAAAAATAATGTATATGTATATAGCGTATGTAGTAGAGCTGTGATGAGCATTTCTTTGTGGGAAACAAGAATATTTCAGAACACTGGTATTCGATTGTCTTTCTTGCTGAGAAACAACTCTATTATATCTATCATATGTAAAAAGTAAATAAGGCAGGAGTATAAACAGAAAACCAATGTTTATCAGTTGAATGATAAACACTGGTTTTCAGTTTAATGTTTATCAGTTGAATGAGCCAACTTTATGGAAATGGTTAGAAGTTTAAAGAATACATGAATGGCAAATGAAAAAGCATAAAATAGTATTGAATCTATTCATATCTATTATTAGAGACAACCATTATATATCCAACATGCAATTGAAACACTCAATCACTGAAGGTTTTCAACCACAAAATCCTTCACAGTATTTTTGGTTGGCTGATAAATTGAAATCTAAGCATAGTAGTAGTCACTAATCTAAGTTTTAAAGAAATATATATTCAAGATATATTATATTCAAAATCTAATTCCTAGAAACGGTCAAGATGTGTTTTTTCCTACATTTCTCTAACAGTTATTATAATAAATAACACATTTACAGCATTTCCTACCTGCAGACATGGCTCTAAATATCTCACATATATTAAATCACATAATCCTTGTAACAAACCCTTTTCTAGCAGGAAATCTGTCAATTTCTTTACTTAATTCAAGGACTGATTAAAAAAAAAAAAAAAAAAAAAAAAGACCTGTAGGCCAAATCAGTCCAAGCATCTGTTTCTGTAAATCAAGATTTATTGGAAAACAACCACACTCATTTTTTTTTTTTAACATATTGTCTATTACTGCTTTCATGCTACAAAGGTAGAGCTGAGTAGTTGCAAGAGATACTATGTGGTCTGCAAAGACAAGCATATTTTCTATCTAGCTCTTTGTATAAAAAGTTTGCAGGTCCCCAGTTTAATAATACAAAGTTTGAGACCCAGTGTGGTGGCGTACATCTGTAATTCCAGCACTCTGGGAGGCCAAGAAGGGCAGATCACCTGAGCTAGTGAGTTCGAGACCAGCCTGGCCAACATGGTGAAACCCCATCTCTACTAAAAATCCAAAAATTAGCCAGGCATGGTGGTATGTGCCTGTGATTCCCAGTTACTCGGGAAGCTGAAGCAGGAGAATCGCTTGAACCTGAGAGGCAGAGGTTGCAGTGAGCCTAGATCATTCCCACTGCACTCCAGCCTGGGAGAGACAGATTGAGATTCCATCTCAAAAAAAAAAAAAAAAAAAAAAAAAAAAAAAAAAAAAAAAAAAAAAAATTGGCATAATTTCCCATGAGCTAGTTAGTTAAATAAATACTTGGTTGATTACTTTTAGTATTATCACAGAGAGAAACAGAGCATAGTCAGTTGTCTCTAAATATTAGGTATCAGTTTCCAAATTTTGGCTTTTCTATAAAATCTTCAAAGTTAGCCAGGACACTTAAAGGTATAAAACATCAAATACTATAATGAAAGCATTTCTTTTCAAAGTCTTAATAAGCTCTTGGGCAAAGTAATGCATTTCTCCTGCAATGTACCTGGTCCCACTGGAGCCTGTCCTATCCAGTGACAAGTGTCTCCCTTACACATCTTAGCCCCAGCACTTAACACAGGGAGTGGCCTGAAGTTGAGCCTCTATGAATGTTTTGGCACAGATTCATTAACATGGTAAACACTTTTCACATAACTGGAACTGTTTTCTCTGCCCAATTTAATCATCATATTGCACAACTGAAGATTACATGACATTCTCTAGGACTCTCATGCTGTTTGTTATATCTGCTCATAAATCAGGATCCAACTGAAGTTTTTCTGCAAGGAAAAAATTACTAGTACAGTAAAAGACTTGAGAAACAAGGCATAAATGTTGCTAACGATAATAGCATTATACAATAGTCCCCATGGGTATTCACATAAGGATTACATAAAGATATAAATAAGTACACAATAAGTTATATGAATGTTTTAAAGAATATCTGTTGAAGGTAAAAACCAAAGCTATTGACTAATCTGACAGCTAGTGTTTCATAAAATACTTGTAACACTTTAGATATAAATTATCTAAAATTATTTCTTCAAATTTTCTTCTTAGCATTTATATTTCAAAATCATCAAAAAATTAATCAGTGTTTCTTTAAAAAAAAAAAAACTCCTCATTAATTCTATTGCTGCAGGACATTGAATTGTACCAACCTTTGCCAAGTCATTTCTAACAACTTGTATTCAGAAAAATGTCCTCTAAGTATATTATTCCACGATGTAGGTCAAAAAAATAGAAAATCAAATAAATACTAAAAAAAGTAAAAGATAAAGTTCTAAAATCTTAGTAAACAAAGTTTGGGGACCTTTTTGAGATAGTATAAAGGGCTAAGGGATGTTGTACATCTTTCTGTTTTAGAAGTCCTAGTGAGGGTGTGTGGGGAGAGACAGAACAAATTGCTCAATGAAAGTAATGGGGTCAACCCTCAGTCGCCTTTAGGGATGCTGTAAGTTGTGATGCTCTTCATTGTGTTTCTTTTTTTGTTTTGTTTTTTTTCTATTTCTTATGTAGCTTCTAGCAATTTCATTTTAGAGTCCACTGTAGTTCATTACAGGATGCATTTCTCATTGTAAACTGAAGTGTTCTTTCAGCCAACCCTTACAATCTTGAGTTTTCCGCTTTAAATGCCTTCATTTTCAGCTCAAAACTCCAAGTCTCCCATCTTGAAAAAAGTGTTAAAATGATCTCTCTTTATTGGTCCCACCATGTTTTGCCCTCTTTTTGTGTGTTGCATTCATCTTGAATATTAG